GCGGCCGCGGGGCCGGGGGGAGGACGGCACCGGAGCGGCCCCACCCGCCAGCCTGGGCGCACCGGGAAGGAGAGCGGAGCTCGCGGACCCCGCTCGGGCGCCAAGCGGACCGCTGTCCTGAGGGGGGCGCCACCGACCCGGTCGCAGCTGGAGTGCCTTCCCGAGTTACCCCAAGACCAACTTTGCCCTTTCTGAGAAAGACAGGACTCCAGTCCCAGCTCCTCACGGCCCGCCCCACCGCCGCTACCCACCCACCTACCACAGCCCCGCTGCCCAGCTCCTCCCGCAGGATAGGGCCTCGTGCCAGCGCGGTCGGGCTCCTGCCGTCACCTGTCCTGTCCTGGGGTCTCCCTGCCCTCACGCCCAGCCCTGCCTGAGATGGGCTCACCACACTGCCCACCTCTCCAAATTAGCACTCGAGGTAGCTCAGTTGGTGCTGGGCTGGCGTGCTGTCGGGTATCTTCTTCCAGGAGGAGGCTGGTCCTCTTTTCCTGGCCACTGTCCCACCTGACCTGCTGTGTCCGCCCCAAGTCCTTCCTGGCCACCCCCTCAGGCATGAGGCTGCTGAAGCATCTGCACTGTGGACATCTCCCCAACTCCTGTTCGCTTTCCCAGGGAGGGGACGGGGACACCTGTCCCTTAGGTCTCCTCATTCGCTGTGCCCCAGGTCTGTGCAGCCCTTGGCCAGAAGCAGGGGATCCGGCGATACCTCCGGCCCCACCCTTCCAGCCAGGAGGCCTGGTCCCCTGGGGAAACACATGACTGGCACAGGCCCTGAGTGTGACTTCCTACCCTCAGTTCCGTCTCTCCAGAGACTCAGGTGTGAGGGTCCTGCGTCTTGAGCACCAGCTCTCCTGAGAGATGCCTTGCCTGTGAGGGCGGAGGCTGGACTTGCCCCTCAGGCGTAGTGAACGCTGGCTGTCACCGTTAACTTTCCTTGCAACTGAGCCCACATTCCTGTGTTGTTCCCACTAAAGGAAGCGCCTACCTTGCAGTAGGTAAGGTGGGTGGTCCCATTGCCCTCACCCCTGCAAGTGTAGCTCTGCTGAAGACCTAGCTGGTTCTGGACAAAGTTGGGACTGGAGTCCCAGGGCGTCGGAGGAGAGATGATTCCAGAGCTGGGCATTCAGGAGGACTTCCTGTAAGAAGCCGCATGAAGACCGGGGCAACCAGCCAGCCTGGCACAGGCACAGCCTGGGGATCCGCTCCTATGCAGCAGAAGGGACCCGCAGCCTGCCCTCCCCACTCAGCGCCCAGCAGCTCATTACCACCACCTCTGCTGCTGCTCCAGGTAGCACTTCAGGAGTTACTAGCCTTCCGGAAAGGTATTTTAAATCACTAGCATCCGTGCAAATCCCAGTCTTTCCCCACCTCACTGTAAATCAGAGACACACCCCCAAACAAATGCAAGGAAAGGGGAGAAATACATCATCAGATTCCAGGCGGCGGCTGTCGAGCAAGTGTGTGAAAGTGTGGAGACTGACCAGCACCCAGAGGTATTTTCTCTGATGTAACCATAAGGATGAAAGGAGAATTGAGAGAGAATAATTCTCTCCATTCTCAAGGGGACAATGGCTTCTGACAAGTCCACATAACTAAATTATGTGGTATACTTTGGGACACTTGTTTCAGGACAATTTTGAGAGAAGATCTGTCTGTGTGATGCTCCTGCAGCCTCGCCTGTCACCACCTGCCTCCCAAGGCTCCATCCAGGCAGAGGTCTGGCCTGCCCATCCTCCACAGGGACCTGTTCTGAGCCAGCAGTTACCACCACCACCCATCACCCGGTGGTCCCCACAAGGACACCCTGCAAGAGTGACCAGGACACAGGGTGGGTGGGATGCATCGCAGCCTTCTGATCACCCATCCTGTGTTTTAAAAACATCCCCCTCCTTCAAACTTCTGAGTGCCCCTCTGTCCTCTGCCTCTCTGGGAAATGTCACCCCAGCTGTATGTTTGGATCTTCCCGCAGCTTCCTTTCCTCCCCGCCTAACCCGTAAGACTCACAAAGCCCAGTGCACAGGTCAGAGAGGGCCTGCTTGGCCTGGGCACGCAGTGTTTACGTTTGAGCCCACACAGCTCGGGGTCTGGCTTGCACTCTGGGCCTGGACAGGGGCCCCATCGCTCGCTGTCTCCTACACTTACGACCCTCACTGTGCAGTTCCTCCTGTCTGGGAGGAGGGAGGATGACAAGCCAATTCAGGTCCTCCAAACCCAAACCTGCCCAAAGATGCATGATACAGAAGGAGAGGGGACTGCCCTGGTCATCTTGGGGTCACAAACCCCACATCCTCACAGGGGGACATTGGAAAGGAGAGCACTTGGGCTTCTGTGGGAGGTTGCCTGGTTCTTCTGCAGAGGCCCTGGGACCCTCTCCTTTGCTTCTGACCCCCAAGTCCCACAGCCAGCAAAGATGTCATTAAACACAGCCTTGTCCCGATGATTACAGAAGCCAGCCCCTGTGTGGGCAGGGAGGATTTACACTGGGAACGGCCCTGGACTCTCCTGGTCCCTTCAGGCCTGGTGCACAGCACAACTGAGTGAGAGGAGTTGGTGACCTTGTCCTGGGGTCCCTGCCAACAGCAGCTGCAGCCAGCTCCACTGTTGGCAAGCGACAGGCACCATGGCCCCAGCAAATGTGCCAGCAGAGCTCGCCCAGGAGTGGCCTTCGTAAGCAATATGCCAGGGGATGCAGCTGGGACAGGAAGCCATGGCCGGGCCTTGGGAGAGTGTCGTGCTTGCCATTTCTTCAGCCCCCACACAGTGCCCTGACAGGGAGCTGTGTCAGGCTAAGGGGGAGGCGTGGGTGGGCTTGGGGCAGCAGATTTCTTTGTGATCCTGCTCAGAAGCATTGTCCCACCACTGGGAGCAGTGGAAGACAAAGGGCTTGAAGTTTGGAAGCTTTGGGATCAAGGCTCAGTCAACACTTCACATGGAGAAGCAGCCTGAGGCTCAATCCTGACCCAAGAGTGATGACACGCTCACTGCCCAGCTGTCACAGCATCCGTTCAAGGTGGTAGAGAAGAATCTTTTGGGGGGCTCGAACTCAGGATCTCACACTTTCCAGGCAGATGCTAAATCCCTGGCAGCACAGAAGTCTTAAGGGGACGCCTGTGCATGCAGGCAGGGACCCCCAAGGGCAGCTGGACCAGGCTTTCAGCCCGAGTCCACCTGTGTCTGGGCTTTCATGGGGCAGGGAGGGGGCCAGGCCTCCCTCTGGGGAAACTGTGTGTCTCTTCTGATGTTCCTGGCTGCAAGGAACACAGCCAGCTTAAACCCTTGGGGACAGCAGGGCTCACGTAGCAGGACTCAGCCAGGGATGGCAACCGCACAGCTCGGCTATGGCCCCCAGCCATCTTCGTGTCATCTCTGTGGATAACCAGATAGGAGAATGCCAAAGTGGCACAGGGAGCAGTGTCTTGCACAACTGGGCAGGGCAGGCAAGGAGTTACTACGACCAGCCTGGTGACCTCTCTGAAGTGGAGGGGGCACCAGGCATCGTCCCCCAAGCCCCCGTGCCTTGTTTCCAAGTTAGGGCATTGCATGTTTGCAGGAGCCCCCCACCTGGTCGGAGATGCTCCCGTGTGACCTCGTGTTTGCAGCCCATGCCTACTGTGCATTACGTAGAGCGGCACACAGAGCTCATTAGCTTGTGCATAAGTCCTGTGCGAAATGCGTGAGGGGCCCGCTTTCACTGAACGGAAGCCTCTTCTAAGCCTGTCTGGACATCTCCTTACAGCTTGCAACCTGAGGGGTTCAACGAGTGGGCCTGGCCCCACCCCCCACAGGCCCCCGGGTACTTGGTCCC